GGAGGTACTCATACCTTTGTTGCCCATACTCCAGACCAGGTAGTACATGGACTTCATATATCAGGGGCACTACCAGCCCAGCCGGTTGTAGCTACTCAGGCCCTGATAGTTCTTGTTATGGCAGATGATGAGCAGAGGAGAATTGAGAGATTTGAGAGGCTTCGACCTCTACCATTTAGTGGTACTGAGTCAGAAGAGGGTTTTCTGGATAAGTGTCAACGGATGTTTCGGGCAGCGGGTATTCTGGAGACCAGCGGGGTCTCGTTCACTATTTTTCAGTTTTCTGGGCTGCCTTCAGATGGTGGGAGGCTTATGAGAGGCACAGGCCAATTAGTGCAGTACCACTTACATATCAGAAGTTCTCCGTTCTCTTTTTGGAGAAATTTGTGTCGCAGTCTCACAGAGAGGAGCTGCGCAGACAGTTTGAGCAGTTACGTCAAGATGGTATGTCTGTGACGCAATACGAGATGAGATTTTTTGAGTTGGCTCGTCATGCAGTCTGGTTGGTTCCCACTGATAGGGAGAGGATTAGGAGGTTCATTGATGGCCTCACATATCAACTGCGATTACTTATGACTAGGGAGAGGGTATCTGGTGCTACTTTTGATGAGGTAGTTGACATTGCTCGGCAGATAGATATGGTTCGTAGCCAGGAATGTGGAGGGAGGCTAAGAGGCCTCGTGGTCCAGGTGATTACAGCGGTGTTCCTTTAGGGGGTCAGTTTTACCGCAGTAGGGGTCATTCTTACAGACACGCTCGGACGGGTCGCCCAGCTCATCGGGGTGCATCAGCTAGTCACAGTTTTTATAGTGCTCACTCAGGCCAGTCTTCATTCAGTGTACTACCAGCATAGAGTTCTCATCATGCCTCGTCCACTCAGGCTTCTGCAGGTAATTCCTCTGGTTATCAGGAGCAGCAGTTCCGTTAGAGGAGGGGTTATTTCGAGTGCGGAGAATTTGGTCATTTCAAGAGAGATTGTCCTAGGCTGTTGAGTGGGGCTCCACAGTAGAGTCCTCGACTGATGGCACCAGCACCAGCAGTTCCACCACCCGCCCAGCCAGCACGGGTTGGGGGTTAGGCAGCTAGGGGAGGGGGAGGCCGATCAGGTAGTGGTCAGGCCCGATTCTATACTTTTCCTACTAGGCCAGATGTTGTTGCTTCAGATGCAGTGATCACAAGTATTGTTTCAGTGTGCCACATGGAGGCTTCTATATTATTTGACCCTGGTTCCACTTATTCATATGTATCATCATATTTTGCTCGTTATCTGGATATGCCATGTGAGTCCTTAATTTCACCTGTTTGTGTATCTACATCAATGGGCGATATTATTACTGTGGACCATGTGTATCAGTCGTGTGTGGTAACTATTAGGGAACTAGAGACTAGAGTTGATCTGTTATTACTTGGTATGGTTGATTTCGATGTAATCCTAGATATGGATTGGTTGTCTCTATGTCATGCTATTCTAGACTGTTATGCAAAAATCGTGACGTTGACGATGCCGAGGTTGCCAAAAGTTGAATGGAGAGGTTCTCTAGATTTTGTTCCTAGCAGGGTAATTTCTTATTTGAAGGCCCAACGTATGGTTGGAAAGGGATATTTGTCATATTTGGCCTTTATGAGAGATGTTGATGCAGATACTCCTATTATTGATTCAGTACTGGTCGTGCGAGACTTTTCGGATGTATTTCCTGCAGACCTACCGGGTATGCCACCCGACAGGGATATTGATTTTGGTATTGACTTGGTGCAGGGCACTCAGCCCATTTCTATTCCTTTGTATCGTATGGCACCAGCTAAGTTAAAAGAATTGAAAGAGCTACTTCAGGAACTCCTTGAAAAGGGGTTTATTAGGCCTAGTATGTCACCTTGGGGTGCACAGGTTCTGTTTGTGAAAAAGAAAGATGATACTATGCGGATGTGCATTGATTATAGGCAGTTGAAAAAAAGTTACAATCAAGAATAAATATCCCTTGCCGCATAGTGACGACTTATTTGACCAACTTCAGGGAGCGAGGGTGTTCTCCAAAATTGATTTGAGATCTGGATATCACCAGTTGAAAATTAGGGATTCGGATATTCTAAAGACGGCACTTCCACCGGGATCAGAGCTTCTGCACCGTATACGAGAGAGAAAGGTGTCTCTCCCGTGCTTTATTTTGTCGTCGTTCGGTACGCCCATAGCATGCCCAGTAACTCTCCGGGCCACTTGCCTTTAGCCGCTTCTAACATCTTTTTGAGGTTTTGAATTATCACCATATTGGTCAATTCTGCTGCCCATTATTGCTCGAATGGTATGGTGAGGATGTAATCCTTTTGATTTTCAGGTCTTCAAGAAATTTTGTGACTTTGGAGCCTATGAACTATGTCCTGTTATCACAGAAAATCTCATTTGGTATTTTAAACTGGCAAATTATGTTTTCCCATAGGAAGTCGACCACCTCGCACTCACCGATCTTTTGGTAAAGACCTACTTCAACCCATTTAGTGAAGTAATCGGTTAAAATTAAAAGAAATCTTACCTTTTCGGGACCCCATGACAGTTCCATTCCCCATTTCATGAATGGCCATGAGAATAGTACTGAATGCAAGAGTTCTGCCGGTTGGTTCACCAATTGTGCATGGTGCTGACACTTGTCGCATTTTTGAACGAATCCACGTCGGAGTAGTTCCCACAAATCCCTTCATGGACCTCTCTCATTATGTAGTCCGCCTCTGAGGCTCTTAAACATCGGGCCAACGGGACTTGAAATGATCTCTTATATTATTGTCCACCCAAGAGGCTGTAGCGAGCCGCTTTGGTGCGTAATGCTCGGGATGACTTTGGGTTTTCGGGCAGCTTTCCATGTCGAAGATAATCGATGAACTCATTCCTCCAGTCCCAGACTAGGTTTGTTGTATTTACTTTACAATAGTCGTCCACATCCAGTACCGAATGCATACGTTGAACTATAGTACTAGAGTCGAATCCTTTCATCTCCGTGGATGACCCCAAATTGGCCAATGCATCTACTTCTATTATCTATTCTCTCGAAAATGTGTGATCGACCACTCCCTGAATCGGGCAAGCAAAGTTTGAACTTTAATCACATATTGTTGCATGCGTTCCTCTTTTGTGTCGAAAACCCCATATACTTGGTTTACTACCAGCTGGGAATCACATTTGATCTTTATGACCTCGGAGCCAAGTCCCCAGGCTAGTTCGAGTCCTGCAATTAAAGCCTCATTTCCGGCTTCATTGTTAGTTAAACGAATAGTTTTTATGGCCTGCCTCACGGTCTCCCCCGAAGGCGTGATTAGGACCACCCTGAGCCCGAACCCTTTCACATTGGAAGCTTCGTCTGTGAATAAGTTCCAAACTCCTGATGTCATTTTCGATACCATCACCGCTTTTTTAAGAAGACAGGGGTAATAACCCGAGACTGAAATCGGCCACAAAGTCAACCAAAATTTGCGATTTGATCGCAGTCCTGGGCTTGAATTCAATATCAAACTCCCCGATTTCGACCGCCCATTTATTCAATTGGCCTGACAATTCAGGCTTTTGAAGAACATTCTGCAAAGGGAAGGTCGTCACAACGGCTATCGGGTGGCACTGAAAATAAGGCCTAAGCTTTCGATAGGTGACTACGAGAGTTATGGCCAGTTTTTCGAGGTGCGGATAATGAGTTTCTACTCCTGACAAAATTTTGCTAACATAATAGATAGGAAATTGCATACCTTCGTGCTCCCGAACCAGCACGGCACTTACCGCTACCTCTGAGACGGCTAAGTATATTAGCAGTTGTTCACCTTCCCCCCGGATTTGATAGTACCGGGGGGCTTGATAGATAACGTTTCAAGTCTTTTAAGTCTTGTTGACATTCTAGAGCCCATTCGAAATTGTTCTTCTTCTTCAAAAGAGAGAAAAATTATGATATTTTTTCGAGGATCGAGAGATGAACCTGCTTAGTGCGACCAATCTTTCGGTTAGCCTTTGGACTTCTTTTATGCTTGTCAGCTGGTCTAGGATGTGCTCGATGGCTTTGATCTTATCGGGATTTACCTAGATGCCCCTTTGTGAAACCAAGAAACCTAAGAACTTACCGGAACCAACCTCGAACGCGCATTTTTCCGATTGTGCTTCCTTAGGATATCAAAGGTTTCCTGAAGGTATTTTAAGTGATCATCTACATTCAAATACTTGACCAACATGTCATCTATGTATACTTCTATTATTTTACCTATTTGTTTCCCGAACATCTTGTTCACGAGTCTCTGATAAGCAGCTCCGGTGTTTTTAAGTCCGAAGGGCATCACATTATAACAATATGTGCCGAAATTCTTTATGAACGAAGTTTTTTCCTAATCTTCCGGGTTCATCTTAATTTGGTTGTAACCGAATAGGCATCGAAGAAACTCATTAACTCGTGTCAGGCCGTTGCATCAATCATTTAATCGATGTTTGGTAGTGGGAACGAGTCTTTAAGGCACGCCTTATTCAAGTCTTTATAATCTACGCACATTCAAAACTTGTTATTCTTTTTCGTAACTACAATTACATTAGCTAACCATTCGTGATACTTTACCTATCAGATTGAACCGATGTCAAGTAGTCGAGTTACCTCTTCTTTAACAAACCTATCTCTGACCTTGGTTATCAGGCGTTTCTTTTGCCTTATAGTAGGGATGCTTGGGTCCAAGCTTAGCTTATGCATGGCCATTTCTAATGGGATACCTATCATATCTAAGTGCGTCCGTGCAAAACAATCAACGTTAGCTTTAAGGAAATTAATAAATCCTGACCTGAGTTCGGGATTGAGTCATGTTCCCAAATGAAATTTTCTCTCCAAGAATTCCCCAAACAAAGCCACTTGTTCGAGTTCTTCTGCCGTGGACATGGTCACGTCTGTCTCTTCCGGTACCTAAAAGTACCTCGGTACCTGGTGGGACTCCGACGACTCCTCGCCTTCATTATCTTTACTAGGCCCGTGAGCAGGCGTCGGTTCCTGTAATTGCTATTTGTTGGGATCCTTCCCTTTACTGTTGGAAATTGACACTGCATTCATTTCTCTCACTGCCAGTTGATCTCCCCTTATTTGCTTGATTCCCTCTGGGGTCGGGAATTTTAGCAGTTGATGATATGTTGATGGTATGGCCTTCATCTTATGTAACCATGGTCTACTGAGAATTATGTTGTAGCCTATGTCGCCGTCTACTACTTCAAATAGGGTGGTCTTCGTGACCCCTTCAGTATTCGTAGGCAACAGGATCTCTCCTCGGGTTGTTACACTTACCAGGTTAAACCCTGTGAGGAGTTTTATTGTCGGAATGATACTTTCGATTAATTTGGCTTGTTCCAGCACTCTCCAATGAATGATTTTGGCTGAGCTTACTGGGTCAACAAAAACATGTTTAATCTTGAAATCTAGAACATTAAGAGAAATTACCATGGCATCGTTATGCGGCAAAAGAAGTCCATCGGTTTCCTTCTCTGTGAAGGTGATGTTGTCTTTGGTGACTTCTTGGAGTCTCTTGTTGTGGGTCACCGATACTTGTGTCTTCTTGGCCACCGAGAAGGTTACATCGTTGATTTCATTCCCTCCAAAAATCATGTTGATAGTCAGTCGAGGAGGTTCTTCCCCTATCTTCGAGGGTTCTGCATTGTCCCAGTCGCGACCGTAATTATTCTTGGATCGGTCGCTCAAGAACTCCCTGAGATGGTCATTCTTCAAAAGTGTTTCCACCCCCTTACACAGATGCCGGCAGTCCCTAGTTCTGTGGCCAAGAGTCCCATGATACTCACGCCATAAGTTAGGATCCCTCTGGTTGGGATAGGATCTGATTGGCCTCGAAAATCGCGCTTCTTTGATATTTCTCATTGACGATACTAGCTCCACTATGCTGATGTTAAAATTATAATCTGACAGCCTAGGATATGAGGAATCCTGGGCCCCTGGTACCTTTTTTCGTGTAGCGATCTATTGTTTCAGCCACAGTCAGTTTTTCTTTCGGGAGCGAACCTATCCGAGGACCAGATTCCTTTACCGCCGCGTCCCTCAGCTCTCTCGTAAGGCAAAAAGCGGTCTTTGGAAGATCGCTGATCTATATCAAAATCATCCTTGACCTTATCACGACTGTCTCGGTCCCGCCCCTTGGTTGATGAAGGGAACCCGAGCTGATTATCTTTATTCCTTATCTTTGATTCATAGTGGCTATGGTCATCCGCCCATATGGTCGCTTGGAATTCGAGCAGGCTTTCCTTCAACTTTTGGGAGGTGTCGGAGCTCCTCGGGTTCAAACCCTTAGTCAATGCCTTTGTCGCCCATTCGTCCGGCACGGATGGTAAATACATCATTTCTTTCTGGAATTTAATCGCAAACTCCCGTAGCAATTCAGACTCTCCTTGTGCGATTTGGAATATGTCCGCCTCTCGGGCATGGACCTTCCTGGCCTCGGCATGGTTCTTAATGAAAGAATCTGCGAGTATTTCAAAAGAATCTATTGAGTGCTCAGGCAGGAGTGAATACCATGTCAAGGCATATTTCGTGAGGGTTTCTCTGAATGTTTTCAGCAGAACCGACTCAATCTCATGTTGAGCCAAGTCCTTTCCTTTCACCTTCCCCCTCTTGAAAATTGACTAATCAAACAAAGGGGGTAACTTATTCTTATGAGGGTAGAGAGTTTGTGTTGGTGTGAATTTTACCGCACTTTGGGTACAAGATCGAAAATTCCGCCGTTGTATAAGTTATAATGTGCTCCTGAGGATCTGAAGTCTCATCATACTTTGGTATGCCCGGCATCTCGAACCATTTCGGAATCAATTCTGGTGTTGCGCTTGGCTTAAACGGCAACTAGGTGTACTTCTTCGAATTTGGGCCCTTCAACACTGGTGGTGCGCCCGGAATCTGATCCATTGGAGCGTGGAACTCCTTCGTGTTCTGATCCATTTGCCCATTCATCTCCCTCAAGAATCTCATGAGTTTGGTTTTGAAAGGATCATTACCGTTTTTGTTACCGGACCTGCTGTCGGTACCCCTGGCTCCGTCGAAACCGACCTCACCCATCGGGGTGTGGTTATCCACTCTTTGAGTCATTTGATTTGTAGGAGCACTAGGAGGAACTGGGCCTTTTCCATTTGCGTTGTTGGAAGCACCTGATAATGCCTGCTTCAATTCCTTTAAGACTTGGCCCTGCCTTGAGAGGTGGCCCATGATGGCTTTTTGTTGCTTTCTCAAGATCCTTACCGTTTACGCAACGTGTTCGTCCTCCGCATCATCGGGAGTTGGCTCCCACATATGTCGGGGATATTATCCGTCATGGATCGAAGTTGCCCCGTCCCCCTCATTGCGGGTGTCACTGATTGAATCTTTATGTTGAGGCAGATTTCGTGCGCCTCAACGTTGCGTGCGATGTTGACATCGTTAGCTGCCATTTTCGATTTTGCTATGAAATAAAGAATCAAACAAGTTAGTAATAGATGCAAGGATCAACTCAATTAGGAAACTGTCTAAGCCCCACGCTGGGCGCCAAACTATTTAACCGTAAAATGGTACAGTTGAATTTGTTACGTGATTTATAGACAAGTGAATCGATTTGATCCAAAAATGATAAGTAAATAAGATTAAAGATAAAACTTAGCGTAAAAAATAAAGGAAATAGCAGGTCTGGCTCCGAGAGTGATGCCTCCGAGGAAAAAAAATAATAACAATATCAAGCAGAAAGTAAAGTTGTAGTATTTAGCTTAAGAATAGAATGTAGCATAAGTTTTGCCAAAGATTTCGTGTCCCTTACAATTGTTCTTGAACTCACTATTTATAGCTATACCTAGGAAATAAGATCCTAGGATCAAGCCCTCTTAAATGACAATAAAGTGGGTCATTGATGAATGTGTAATGGCAGGTCATGAATGCCAAAATTCTCTACAACAGTTGTCTATTTAATACCGGAAAATATTATTCATTAAATGCTTTCCGATGGAAAACATTCGATCTACTCAATTTGATTATGCTCTCTTCGGGGTTCATCCGATACCAATGGCAGTTGTTGTTCCGTGTACTGATTGTTACTCGATTCATCTTCTACTTGTCTTCGGTTCTACGTGTCGCTCTATCATTCGATCACTTAATATAAGCCAATTTTACCCTATACATGGACACCATCTGTATACGGTCGAAATAGATTTCGGCCTCCGTACGATTGATCGAGTTCGAATGGTAAGCGATCGAAGTGAGAGCTCGAGACAAGTTCCAAGGATAGTACAAACAAGCCTCGAGCTCCAAGACCGATCGAGGAATCGGCTCGGTATCATTATCGAGCCCATGACCAAATCGAACCGCAAGGCAACGTGAAGGTTGTCGGAGATGCACAGACCGATTGACACTCACCCCGAATGTCAAACTCAAACCAAGGCCGAGGGCTCGACCCAATACCGAGCTCGAGCCAGTATCAAGCTCGCAAAAAGGAGTCGTTGCAACCGCACTAGGGGAGAGAATATTGCCAGGAATCGAGGAAGAGACAATTCATCATGGATTCTCCACTATATATTTTTTATAAATAAAGTAAGATTCCTCTACTATAAAGGGGGGAATCCTTGTAAGGACAAGAGAGGTTGACACATTGTAACACAAGTTTCTTCTCATATTGAAAGATATCCTCTTATGTTTATTTCACTTTATCTTATTCGTTCTTCTTGCTCACTAATTTCATTCTCATAGTCAAGAATACATGCATTTCTATTTCTCTATATGATTTGTATCAAATTATATCACATATCCTTAGAACCATATACAAATTTAGCTCTATCTAATTTTTCGGGTAAATAATTTGGCGCCCACCGTGGGGCTAAGGGTAACAGTGGTTGTTTGATAAAAATCTGCAATACACACCAGTTTGCAACTTCAAATCAACAATGGCAAACCCTCGATTGATGGCTTTACCTATCGACTACGAAGTCGGCCTTCAAGATGAAACCAAGAAATTGGCACCCAGGGCCGGAAGGTGAATTAACGATGTCACCGAAGCTCGAGTCAAAGTACCGCTAGATGTCAATTCACAAGTGGCTCTTGAGGCGAACCAATGTTCAGAACCGAAAAAAAGCATTCAGGGCGGTACTCGATCCGTATCTCGAGACACCCATAACGTGGAGGAGATAGGAGTCAGCTTACGGATGATCTTCGAGATGTTGCAAGCCCAGCAAAGAGTGATAGCTCAGTTGCAAAGCCAAACTCAGGTACAAAGCAGGCCGGAGCTGTTACAACCCAAATTCGCATACCATAGATCACGCCGTAAATTAGTAGACGTAAATCCAAGAAGAGATTATCTTTGAGATGATAAGCAGTTAATCTTATTGGTCTTAAACGATACAAGGGTGTATAAGAGTGGTTAACAAGTATTTGAAGTNTACAAAGCGAGTCAAAGCCAACGATAAAAAAGTAGAAACATATAACTCTAGGGTCGATCAGATCCCGGGAGCTCCACCAATGATAAAAGAGTTAGATTCCAAAAAATTCATGCAAAAACCTTTTTCCTCGAGCGCGGCCCCAAAACCAATCCCTAAGAAATTCCATATGCCCGAAATTCCCAAATATAATGGAATGACCGACCCCAACGAGCATATCACTTCTTACACATGTTCTATCAAGGGAAATGATTTGGAAGATGATGAGATCGAATCTGTATTATTAAAAAAATTCGGTGAAACCATGTCAAAGGGGGAGATGGTATGGTATCATAATTTACCATCTAACTCTATTGATTCTTTTGCTATGCTTGCAGATTGTTTCGTAAAAGCACATGTCGGAGCCATAAAGGTCGAGACCAGAAAGTTGGACCTGTTCAAGGTAATACAAAAGGATAACGAGATGCTAAGGGAGTTCGTATCTCGTTTTTAAATGGAACAAATGGATCTGCCACCAGTCACAGATGATTGGGCTGTTCAAGCCTTCACTCAAGTTCTGAACGAGCGAAGCTCGATGGCTTCACGGCGGCTGAAGCATAATCTGATTGAGTACCCAGCTATTACTTGGACCGATGTGCACAATCGATATCAATCCAAAATAAGAGTCGAAGATGACCAGTTAATTTCTAGGTCTAAAAGAACTACCAAGCAAAATCGACCAGAGATCGATACCGGCCATATAGCGGAAATCCCCTAAGCAATTTGAATGTGTAACACCTAAAACGATACTACTGCTAAGTATCCGAGGCCTCTTTACAATTAACCTCGAATACTCGGGGGGCTCTATCATGGAACGTATCTGTGACGATTATCAAATTCGGTACAAAGGAAGTTACTTCGTTATTTCATGACAAACAGTGTCTCGACAGGAAATGTTATAAGAGCCAAATGGTCAAAACGAACCATGCTCATGAAGTTGGCCAGAGCACTGACGCAAAACATGAATGTATGTATAATGACTTGCAAAGAAAACTCTCTTCTTTACCGATATCTTATATCCAAGATTCATTATGCAAACAGGATCAAGTTCGAGCAAGCACTCACTCGATCACTAAATCTACGGGCTACTTTTCTTTCTAGTTCGAGCAAGCACTCACTCGACCATTACACCTACGGGCTACATTACTTCGAGTTCAAATCATTCACTCGACTACTAAGCCTACGGGCTACTTTTGTTTTGAGTTTGAGCAAGCACTCACTCGACCATTATGCCTACGGGATACATTACTTCGAGTTCGAATCATTCACTCGACTATTAAGCCTACGGGCTACTTTTATTTTGAGTTCGAGCAAGCACTCACTCGACCATTATGCCTACGGGCTACTTTACTTTGAGTTCGAATCATTCACTCGACTATTAAGCCTACGGGCAACTTTTATTTTGAGTTCGAGCAAGCACTCACTCAACCATTATGCCTAAGG